CCACAGGTAGGATAATCATCAGATCCACCAATTGGATGCAGGTTGCTTTTGCTTACTGTCAATTTCCAATCATCTTTAACATAATGTTACTGTTCTTTTCAATTCACAAAAAGGGTCAAGACTGGCATACAAAAATAATCTAAGGTCAGGGTGTATGTTTTTCTGTTCAGGACGTTTGAAACTTTTCATTTAAATTATCTAAAAGAACATTTTTTCATTTTACGTCATGTAAAACACATTTGAGAAATTATGCACAAGGTTTGATTCATCAGCATATACTGTATCGTTTGGGCTACCCACACACACAACCAGCTCTGTCCCTTGTTGCTCTTACATAAGAGGTCACAGAAAGTGGAATGTTTTCACCTGTTTCCAGGTGGGCTACCTGACCTTCACCAGCAGGTTTTATCTCCATTAAGGGAAGATCATATTTTGGGTCTCAAAAGGCAGAGGAAAAGGAGCCCCATTGAGAGGTGCACAGTAGCTGGCAGCTCATGCACTGAGAAAATGGACAGGAGGCAACCACTCAAGAAATAATGTTACGTAACTGACAAGGCACATTCACACACAGACCACTGGGCGGCTAAGTGGAAAACAGGGTAGTCTCGCACTGACAGAAGGAAAAAAGGGATATTGTGTGGATGTTGAGAGGAAAAGTGGCCTTTAAAAAAGGGAGATCTGTGGGAAACGGCTTAAAGTTTGGTATCATCTAGCCCAGAGGATGACGGCATTCTGCCTGGCTGGAGTAGTAAACGTGCACAGAGACAGAAAGAGCCTTGTTTTAATAGAGACGTTGTTTCTCATTATAATGCATGAGGCACTTTGAGAGTCTTATTTTAAAGCCACCTCAGCCCATTTCCTCTTTTAGTCTTAGCCCATGTAGTTGGACAAACATGAGGAAGAGGAATTTAAGGCCTCGGGCAACTCCATATGAATGAACAAGTGGAAGTAGACAAGCCAGAGAGGGAGACAAATCAGTGAATAAAACCCACTAGTGAATACTTCACATTAAGCTCTTGTTTATTCACTGAGCTGCACATTGATGTATTAGTGCCCAGCCACAGGCATACTGCTGTTATTGTAAAGACACAAATGTAGAGCAAGGGTAGCAGTGGACCACCAGGGGGCCAACTTGGTTATCTTACATTGACCTCAACGAACAACCCAGCATCTTAAAAATTATTTGTAAAAAATGTTCTCTGAAATTTCTAGATCCAAACACACTATCTGGTCTCTGTAATTAGAGTGTGTTAAAATCACCTAACCACTAAGTGGAGTACTGCTGTGGTTTCCAGGTAAAAACTGATTTAGACACACCTTCAAATTAGTTATTAAATGATCCAGCAGAGACTTCTTTTGGTCGCCTAGTAGAAAAAAACAATGATGCTACATTATTTTCACTGTTAGCAAGCAAGCACAGACAACCTGAAGTACAGTTCCTGAAATGGGAATATTCTAAGCTTTGTATTTATGTATCCATATCTGCATCCTGTCCACAGTGATGAGAATAACAAGCTGAACATCCAATTAAAACAAGGTACAGTGTAACACTATACTTGAAACTGCAAATTAAGGACGAGTTGTATAAGTTGAATTATCTGTGTAAAAACACTCTGAAACTGCAAATTAAGGATGAGTTGTATAAGTTGAATTATCTGTGTAGACATTCTGTGTTTTGCAAGGACACAGCACAAAACTTCCACTAGATGTGATCATATCAGCCAATCGTCCCTGGTGTATTAAAAGCATCCACTTAACAGAAGCCACTACAGAAATGCATGGCCACAGCGTGGACTTAACCCTACAATTAGGAAACTCACAACACCAAGTGTTGTGAAACCCTTAACCCCAACACAGAGCGGAGCCAGGTCCCTGCCAAACCCAGATAAGACACTTCAAAGTCAGAGAAAATGCCACTGACTACCAACATTTGCCTTGAACAGCCATGAAAGTGAAGAGTCACCGCTATGAACCAGTCGACTGTGAAATAACGGACGGAAGAGCAATGAAATGAGAAGAATTTCCACCAGACTGTGGCTCACCACCACCACCACCACCAAAGCTTCAGTACTGGGCAACACCAGCTGGGGAAACCAGGTGGGTAACTGTAGGGTGGGCCAATAACAGCTGAGTAAAGAAAACCGCCAATCACTAACACCAGAAGTGTAAATTCTGAGCAAGAAACGAGACAGGAAATACAATTATCTCTATCAATAACACATGTCCTGGTGCAGATCAGAAGAAGGCTTGAAATTTCACCTCAGTTCTGGCGTCTCTGGAGAACAAGAGTAGGATGAACGTGTAGGTGGAGCTGCTAAGCTCATTCTCTAAAATCTGACATTCATCACTGACATCATGTTGATGCTTCAGGCTGTGGGCAGGAGCAGCAGCCACAGCAGCAGCGGCAGCGGCCGCAGCAGCTGCTGCACAGGCCCGATTTTTCCCACTTTTTTCCCCTTCGCAGGCCTCTCTCTCATGTCCTATCGTACGCTTCTTTGACTCCCTTGCAGTGACTTAACTTTAATATGGTCATAAACACGTGCCTTCACGTTCTACATCCTCCCTGCTTTGACGCAGGCGGCCAATTATACCCACGCTGCTTTCCAGTAGCAGCTCCTCATCATCACCCTCCTCCACCCAACAAGGCACACCCCATCCAAAAATAACTCCACTAGGAGAATTACATAAAATAAACCAGCAACACCACACTGAAGCTGTGACTCACTGACTGCAGCACTCTCAGGCTGGAGCACACTCATCATATACTGTATGTAGCAGGGAGAAATGACTCTCTTTTGTGCAGATATTATTCCACATCAGTTACCACGGCGGACGGGCAGCAGCTGTGATGCTCGCTGACACGGCCGTTACGTAAAAAGACTTCCATCCACTCCCGTAATTGACTTCAGCCCCTCGGTGACAGCACTCATTTGTTCTGAAAATGATCAGAGAGGATTTCTCTTCTCTGACCCCAGTGTGTGGCCAAACATAAACACTGTTTAAACACTCAAGGCTGCGCGTAAATGGCAGCATGTTTTCTTTAAATGAAGTTAACAGGGTGCTGATGATGACAGCAGGGCTCTATCCTTTATTTACTTTAATCTTGGCATTTTAAACTTAAACCATTTGTATGGGCAGTTTCTGACATGCTTCTTGTTAACTTATCTTGGGGGTAAAAGTTCAAATATGAGGGTTTATATCCTGCAAGATCAGCCAAGGTGGCTCTAACTGAGCTTTATCTTAAATCATGTTTATATTGTTTTGATGTGAGCAGGAAAGCCCTTAGATCCAAGGCTTAACAAAAGAAAAAAAATGCAGATTTATAATCACAGTCGAGCGCACGCTTTTATCTCTGTCTGCACATGCTTCTCATTCAATGCAACGCAGTGTTTTAGCAGACATCCAACCAGAGGTTTGTCTGTTGTTTTGCTGTTAGCAAGCAAGGCAAACCAAATGGAACAAATACTAATATTTAACCAAACATCTGTCAAGAGGTATTTAATATAGTATCATAGTATTTTGGGTATGTACATCTTTAGTATAAGATTAATAGAAAAGGTTATTTTACATCATAGCGGTAAATGGTAATGTATGTCCAGGATGCATGGATGACCTCAAAAAACTTTTTCATCACACTTTCTATGTTGCCTGACCACATGACCAGGTGACTTATGTAACACCCAATGAGGTATTGTTATACAGTAACAAACATTTCTCAAGGTTTGAACAAATGGACGTGATGCATGTTGATACACGTGCAGTAATGTTATTGGTACAGGTCAGTGATCTCATACTGTTGGTGCTTATCAGAGCTCTTTGCTCAATAGCTTGCTCCACATGCTTTTGTGCAGAAGGATGGAAAAGATGCGTGTTTACAGGTTTCAACCCACTGACACAGCATGATGTGTTTCTGTGCGAGTGGGCAATCTGGGCATATGGCAATCTGCACTCTTGGCAACAGCTCACCATCAGCAACCGTCCAACACAGACTGTCACGTTGGGTTGTTTACGCAACACTTCAAATCAAAAACAGCACAGATCAAAATCAAAATAACTGTCATCAGTCAATATTGGTGTAGATTGACTTTTTTTTTTAAATTCTTTTACCCATAATATTTTCCTGTTCAAGATCACATTGCTTGATCTGTAATCTAGTCCCAAAAACTGGCTCTGTAAATCATTGACAACAACAGCAGCTCCTACATGTAAAAAAATCAGTATGTAAAAACATAAGCAAAAAAACACTTCATCATTTGTGTAAGTGGTGAATTAGAAGCTTAGAAAATGAAGTAGTCATCAGTTAGATCATTATAATTACTATACTGTTATTTAGCCGAAATAATTTTAGGAAAAATTCAGAACCAAATAAACTTTTTTTTTTTTTTTTTTTAAATCAACTGAACTACGGCCCCCAGAAATATTATTTATAATAATAAAAAAAAGTATTTGAAGCACCTTCAAAGGTACCCAAGGACATTGTACAGTAAAAACAAGACATAAAATAGTAGACATAAAAGTGAGTGAGGAATTGCAATCGAAACGTTCATTTTTTTTATTACATATTAGGAGAACTAATGAAAAGAATTATTTTGAAGTCACAAAATGTTGTCAAATTTTAATTGACATACAGTTTTGTCCCTTTATATATCGGTGCATTTATACTGAATTTATTAAAACTCTTGAAATAGCAGTTGTTTTGAATCCATTCAAAGCATCACTTAAAAAGTGATTAATTTAAGTGAAAACGAATTCTTGATCAACATCATCTAATTAAAAAGGTGCTCGTGTCTGTGGATGTGAATGAATCAACCGTGATTTATTAAACTCAAATCGCACTGTCTATGTAATAAAAATTTGAATTTGACAGAAATTAGGTTTTTTTTAAAAAAGCACGTTGGCTCCAAAGTGCTCCCTCCCTGACAGGAGAATCTGCAGCGGGAATCGCCATCAAAACAAAACACATTCAAACAGGCAAGATCGCAAACAGACAGAAAACTCACCGAAGTAGACGGTTTTGTCACATTTGGGACACTTTGAAGCCATGCTGAGATGTTAATGCTGTGAGTGTGTGCGGTGAAAGTGATCTGTCTCGGTTCTTCTCTGTTCTGGCTCCTGTTTCTAACAGCAAGTGTCTCCTCTCCCTGCCGCTGTTGCTCTTCAGTTCACAGCATCTACTCTAGTCACTCAATGGTTACTCATTAACATAACCACGCCCAGACCACGCCCCCGTGCGTCCTTCAGTTACGGTGGGAAAAACTGCATCTGTCAACAACGACGCCAAAAACGTATACACAATTACTAATGATGAATTCCCTCATTTCCATATTTTTCTGTTTTACACATAACACACTCACATATATCACATAGAGCATTGATTAACTATTTATTTATTTAATATATATAATATCTCATACATAAATAAATACATTTTCATAATATTTTATCATTTATGCCTTTATTGTTTTGGTTCCATGAGCTGTTTCTGTTGTGTAGGACATTTTTCTGTTTTTTTTTTCTTTTAAGTTTTCAAAATATTTTTTAAACAAATAACAGGGTTGCAACACAACACATCAACAATAGCAGGACAAAAAAGCAAATGAGTCAATTAGTCAAGTAAAGCCTGAGTGCCAGTAAACATAAACAACAAAATAAATCAACATAACAGTGAAAGTCGAACCTCATTCTTGCATAGCGGGTCACTAAAGAAGGATCCCTCCTATATTTTTACCACAGTATCAGACTAAAGGAGCTCTATATGCTAATTTTGTGATTCAGTTCAATGATGAAAACAATGATTTTAGAATAAAATGTATGTTTAACACAGGAAAGCGTGTAAATTACACAAACTGCTGCCATTGCTGTAGAACTGTAAAAGAAGGGGGGGAAAAGGGCTACACTAGGTATAGGGTGAGATCCTCCAAGGCTACTGTGAGTCTGAACCGTGGGCTGTGAAGGCACCATCACCTCCTCTGTGCTCTGCCTGGGGATTTCACAGACAGACAACCCAGGACAGGCGGGAAAAGCTTGGAGACGAGTGGTTGGACAGTCCACGGGGGCACCGCTGCTCCTGTTTCTCTTTCTCCCCCTTTTCCCTTGGAGGAGCGGTTGAATCAGTGTGAGGTTGAATCACAATGCGGCCTTTCAGAGTAAGTGGCTGGTAGGAATTTGTCAGAGCAGAGGAAGACGCTGAAACGTGCCTGGGGTGGATCAGCTTCCCCCTGTGAGAAGAGCCGTTGGCTGCATGACAAATGTAGGCCCAGTGGAGAAGGAGAAAGGAGATGGAGCTGGAGGAATGAATGAAGGACAGGAGTTCATTAAGGCAAAAATACACGTAAATATACAAAAATTGTATATTCAGATTAAGTACAGATTACTACAAAATGAAAATGAAATCAAAATGCTCATTTGTTTCGTTTGCTCCATAGAAAATCAACACGTGTTTGCTGTTGTGGTAGGTCCACAGGAAATGCTAAAATGTTAGCAAAAAACAGGAAAAATAAAATGTTGGTTAAATGTTTTTACAAAAATTACTAATTTTTTAGAGATTTGTTGTTGAACAAACAAAATAATTACCCCAGAGATTGGCAAAATCTGAGCATGTGGGAAGCAAAGTTTGCAAAGAGAAATTGAGAGAGTTAAGAATTAGCCCAATTTCTTTTTCAGTAAAGTATAGATAACAGTTAATGTGGCTGGTTTTCTTATTGTCCCCTTGGAATGAATACATTTTTGTGAATATAATTTAACTGAACTGAATTGTATTGAATGTAAGTTAAAACAAATAACATTTAAAAATTGATTATGATAAAAAAGTAGGATTACAGCAGAAAATGACCACATTAAAAACTATGAAGCTACCTGATTGATTGACTGTATGTGTTTCCAATCTTGAGTTCAACTCTTTCACACATGGCTGCTGTCTGCTCTGTTTGTTTGCTGCTGACACAGAGCAGGTCCTTCTGCAGAAACACACACACACACACTCACTGTTATTTCCCACATCTGTGTTTCAGCTGATTAGCAACTCGTCAACCTCCCTGTAACCGGTTCTCTCTTTATCTCTGAGTTCATTGTTTTCTAAAGCTTTTAACGGTCAGCAGCAGATTTGTGGGTAAAAACTGTACACTGGTCAGACTCAGGTCAATTCCTCTGAGTGAGAGTCAACGCCTCTGGGACTGCAGCGATCACATTTATATATAACCATCGGTTCATGGCAAATTTAGTTTTACTTTTGTGTCATTTTTATTACAGGTTTGCTGATGCTACCTTAAAACTGGTGTCAGTGCAATGTTCTAGGACAAATTAATATTTTACACCTTTTCATTCCTACACAAAATTGTCTGGGTGAACTCTCAGGTCCTGTGTCTCAATTGTAGGGTCTACAGTCAAGAAATAAATGCCTTACATCACCAGACAGCATTATTATTTATATAATATACTGGAGTAATTCTTAACCATAGGGCGGGGGCCAAAACTGTAACTCAGTTACAGCGCAGCTTTTGACCACATGGTGGCAGTAATGCATCAGTCAGTTGTTAAAAAACTCCAATTCGGAGACGAATGTTGAGTGTTAAGTGGATTTGGTTTATTATTGAATATAAATGTTGGTGGTAGTATTTGATTGGTCGAAAAGGTCAACAAAAACCCCTGCCATACTGGCCTACATCATGAAGTATTTTGTCATATAGAGTATAGATTATTTCAAAATTGTTTGTTTTTTACCTATCATAAAATAAAAACTGTTGTAGCCAAATACATGTGAGGTAAAACTTTTACCGAACCTCATATAAAGACAGGTGGCTAGAGGTTAGCTGACAAACAGCTGAATGTTGGATTAAAAGCCAAAACATATGCTAACAATGTCTAAAAGTGGATTCAAATAACTAATATGAAACAAAAAGCTAATCATGTGTCGATTTAGGATGAAATATAGCTAAACCAATCCTTAAACCCACCCAAAAGATTAGCCAAGAATTCGACTAAAATGGTTTAAATTTAGCCTAAATATATCCATACCTTAGATCAGAAATAACCTATAACCTGGACAAAAATATTTTTAAAATAATCTAAATATTAGTCTGCAAGAAGCTAGCCCACAGCTGGTGGTTGTTAACATTACCAGCCAAACCAGACACAAAAATACATTAGTTTTATAGTTGTGGGTCAGTGGTTGTTTAGTTGACCTTAAACTGGCTGTTAGACAAATAAGATGTAAAAGAAAATTTAATTTTGTTTTTAATGATGCCACCCGGGGTAAAATAATATTTAGAAACCTTTTAACTACAAAGGCTAAATATTTTTCTTTTTTCTATCCTTGTTAATGCTTACTTTGGCAATATTTCTATCAGGTACCATTACAGTAGAATCCCCCCACTGTAGCTGCAACCGCTGACAGAGGACATGACTTCATTACCGTTCACCTCCACTGGTTTGCTGTGGCTGCAGCTTTACTGCCAGTTCAGCTGTGTTCCCACCAGACTCGGAGCTGCTGAGATGAGAGGAGGTCAAGAATAATACAGAGGAGGCAGGAGACTGAAACTGAACCACTGTATTCTCTGCCCGACTGGGCAAAGACACAAGGAAAAGAAAACTCGGTCCACTTTCTGTACGATCAAATATTCATGTCACTCAGTGAACAGAATGGAGTCATCAGTAAACCTTTTGACTCTGTATGTGAAATCCATAGATGGTTAATAGATAACCATTTCACTCTTTGCAGAAGCACAAGTACACACAGTATGTGTAAATATTCCCTGGTAGATTAGAATAGGTAAAAAATCAAATTATCCTTTAAACACGACAGTGAGTTTATATATATACTGTATTTATATATGTATATATATATTCCACTGGTCCCCAGACACATAGCTGTGAGTACAGTATGTTTCTGTGAATGTGCAATGACAATAATACTGCATTATTAACTGCAAGCTAACATTCCCAGCGTCCTTTTCTCGACTTGCCGCTGAGTTGGTTTCACATTAAGGTGTATTTAAATATTGCATCTAATTTTATAAAATAATAAAATATAAATGTAGTGAAAAAAATAGCACAAATATATAACACAATTCCTGCAATACCTTCTCTGACCTCCAGGTTAAAAAGCTGTAATCTATTGAATTAAAGGGTCAGTCTTTAAATAAAGAACTTACATCTGAATGTTACCGGTCAACATGTGATTGACAGGTGCATCATCCAATAGAGTCCAACAGCATATGATGATCAGTTGTTAGTTGTAAAACATCGGGAAACCTGACCTACATAAATAATGACGCCACATTTAATAATTTAATCATAATTTACCAGATGAACCTCATGTTCAATATAACAAGACCAGGACCTAGTGATTGAGACCAGAGTCTGGTCTGCGAAACGACTACTGGTTTGATATTGATTAGCTGAAATAGACATGATTTTTATTAAAATCAATATCAGCGTAAATACAACTGGTAAAGTAGTATCATCACACTGTACTACCCTGTCAGACAGTTCTCTCTTCCCACTCCCTTCCTCCGATTGATTCCTGTTACAGACGGTTCTCTCTTCCCGCTCCCTTCCTCCGATTGATTCCTGTTACAGGGTATTTTAGGGATTTGTTCAATATAAAGTCAAAATTGTCCATTAGGTAACATTTTTGGTTTTTGGTGTAAATTTAGGCTTCAGGCATGAAGTTGACTTGACAAACTTGACGTGAGTAAATCAGGGAGAAAATCTACAGCAGGACACTTTCTGTGTTTTCCCTCTGCATCACGCTGCACACACAGCCTGCAGCAGAGAAGGAGACGTCCATTTCCATTATACAGTCTATTGTTTGAGTCAAAATTCATTTACAATTTATGGCTGGAGAAGAACTCCCTTGGCAGGATTTGTTTGGTGAGACAGTGGGATTTTAGACATTTCTGAGACGTGTGAGAAATCCCACAGACACTGAGGTGACACATCCAGGCCACTAGTTTTTTTTTCTTCTTCTCCTGGTTGAATATATGGCTCAGACCTGCTTGAATTTTTTTTTGTTTTTTTTTTTGGAACATTTCTCTCAGAGGAAAACGACAAAAATAGACCTGAAATAATGACGGAGGAGTGAGCTGTTCCTCTGGGACCCAAAAGCATGCTGGCACTTTACTTTTATAGTCAGGATTAGACAAACACAGATGGAAGAAAATACATGACACGTCGTAAAT